GTATGCGGACTACAGTATGCGTCAGCTCTTCCAGCACGGCCACAACAATAGGGGTACGCTGGTGCGGAAGCATTCTAAGCTTAACTTCTGGCGGGATTTGCTGTACGACAAGCCTCAAATACTGGACCTCTATACGGATGAGCAGGCCTGGCGGGACAACGGTCTAATCAGCAAGGACAGCGATCCCTTCGACGACTCTCTGTTCCAGTCCGATGAGCTCGACTTCGAGCTGGACTTTCTAAATCTGCGCCGCAGCCACGGCACAGACGAACGCATTGGCCAGCGCGTGCTACAAATTGTGCAACTGTTAAGGAGCTTGAGCTTCCATCAGGAGAACGTCACGCTGCTTGCGTCCAATCGCACGCTCTGGAGATATCTGGTCATGGGCGCCAATGTGCGGTGGAGTAAGTGTATAAGATAGACACGTAGTCGCCATCTAATAGCCATGCTCTACCCCATCCTCTGCGTGTCTCTTTCAGGCAACATCCACATTCAGGCCTTGGAGACGGCTGGGAATCTGGCGCAGCAGTTCGAGTTACTCGATCCCGCCACAGACGAGTTGTCGAGGAATTTGCTGGCCACGCTGTGCGAGGGCGTCGAGTCGAATGACCGTGCCGTGATAATCAGCTGTCTGGAGATCCTCTACAAGCTGTGCGGACGCGAGGGCAATGCACAACACATAAATCGTTGTCTCGGCCTGGACTTTTACCAGCGTGTGATGCTATTGCTGTCGCTGACGGATGTGATGCTGCTCATCTTCACCCTGGAGGCGATTTACGCGCTGAGCACGTTGGGCGCACGTCCATGCTCCATGCTAATGCAGGTGCGTGGGCTGCTGGATCAGTTGGTAGCTCTGCTAACTGTAGAGGCGCAGTCGTACGGCGCTGCGGGCTGCATATTGATGCGGGTGGTTGAGGTGGTGCCGGGCAACATATTGTCCACAATGACGCAAAACATGCCCAGCACTCAGATGACGCCGCTGATGGCGGTTAAGCAGCCGCAACCGCAACCGCAGCCGCCAGCGGCGATTCCATCGCTGCCTCCGCCGGCACCCACACAGGTGCAGGTGCTGCCCCCACCGCCTGAGACAGTTTCGCTGCCTGTGGCAGCGCCTGCGCCAGCGTCAGCTCCTTCTCCTGCTCCTGCTCCTGCAACTGTAGCTGCTCCTGTTGCCATACCTGCGCCTATGCCCCTGCCCATGCCCAGCCTGCCTCAAGTGCAGCTGCCAGTGCCCAGTCTGCCTCAGGTGCAGCTTCCGCCACCACCCACCCTACAAGCACCGGCTCCACCTGCGCCAGTGCCCACTGCAGCCACTACAATAGCGGTGCCCGCTGCGCCATCTGCGCCGCAGAGCTTTACCCACGAAGACGAGACCTATGCGCTGACCTGGCTAGGCGCCACTTACGAGCGGGCCGGCAACGGGCACGATTATCGCGTGGAGCAACAGGAGCTGTACACCATTTACCTGTCGCACTGTCAGAAGGCGGGCAAGCATTCGGTGGTCAACCGGGTGCAGTTTCCGCGTCTCGTGCGCCTCATCTTCAATGCAACCGTCGGACCCGCCATTGTGCGACAGATGGATGGAACGGAACTCCCCGGCACGCACTATGTTGGCATAAGGATGCGTGCACAGCCCTTGCCCATGCAGCACCAGCAGCACCAGCAGCAACAGCAGCATCCGCAACAACAGCAGCAGCAGAAAGTTACACCAATACCTGTCGCCATAGCTGCGAAGAAGGACGCAACTGTGGCGCCCAAGTCAGACCCATCAAGCGGCGAGTCGGGCGAGGATGCCGTTGCCTCGCCCACACCCAGCTCCTCGGTGATTAAGAGTCTGCTGGCGAACAAAGTCAACGAGCGACAGCTGAAGCAAAAGGCGCAGGCGCAGCCGCCCGCTCTGGTGGCCACCACCGCGTCCTCAACTGGCTCGCCGGCCGGGCAGCCCATCAAAGTGACCTCCACGGCAATCAGCGCATTCGTCAATAATCCGCTGATGCAGCACACCCCCGTGAAGGTGGGCCAAACCACCATAAAGCCGTTGCATCCGCAGTTGCCCATGGAGAAGAAGCCAATGACGGATTCGGCGCCCCCTCCTCTTGCCCCTCTCAGTGGCTCCAACGTGCTGACAAAGGACGCGCAAGGACGCACAGTAATTATACAGTCCAAGCGGAAGCTCACCATCGATGAGGAGCAGAACAAACGGCTGGCCTTGGATGGCAGCAACGCGCCCGCTGGGAAGGATGACCCACAGGTGACGCCCTCCAAGAATGCGGCTAATCTCTATGCGGACTTGGCTGCCTCTATACTGGAGGATGAGGATCTGGATGATGTGCCGCCTCTGGCTGCTTCCAGTCAAGAGCAACAGTCCGCGCCACAACAACAAGTACAACAACAACAGCAGCAGCAGCAACAGCAACAGTTGCAGCTAATCTCTAAGGTGCACCCGACCCAGCGGCAGCTCATCTTTCCCGCTGGYAACGCGCCGGCGCCGCCGCCGCAGCTGAAGTTGGCTACGACAGCAACCATCAAGACGGACCAGGGCTTGCAAACGGTACCGGTCATACTGCAGCAGAAGACGGAGCAGCAGCAGCAGCAGACGCAGACGCAGTACGTTCTGGCCACCAATCAGCAGGGTCAGACCTATTTGGTGGCCCAGCAGTCGGCGCCGGTGGCACCCTCGCCCAGTGCACCCGGCGCGCCCACTCTCCTGGTTACGCAGACGCCGCAGCAGCAGACGAAGACGATCATCATTTTGCAGCAACCGCCGGGCGTGAGTGCTAGCAATGCGCCCGGCACACAGAAGGTCATCATGACGACAGCGCAGGGGCAGCAGGTGCTGGTGACGACCACCACGGCGCCAGCGGCGGCAGTGCGTCCTGCTGTCCAGGTCCAGCAGCAACAACAGCAGCAGCAGCAGCAAATCTTTATAAATCCGCAGCGTGCAGTGTCCGCTGCATTGGGAGCGGGCCAGATGTCGCCCTCGCTGCTCTCACAGCTGAATCAGATTCCTGCCACCATAAAGCTGCATCAGCCGCAGCCGGCGCAGGCCGCGCAGCTTCATAGGACCGGCATAGTGGCCAGCAAGGCGGCACCGATACCTCAGCTGCAGCAGCATCAGTCCATCATACAGCAGCACATCATCTCGAGTCCCGCAGCCGGCGCGGAGAAGCGACAGCTGCTCTTGGGTGGCATCAAGGAAACGACACTCATCACCCAGACGCCCGTGACGGCTGCCCCACTGCAGCAGAGCCAGCTCAACTCGCAGACAATCATAACCACCCAACCACCGGTGGGGGGCACCTCAGTCGTGGGCGCTACACTGCAGCAGCAACAGCAGCACATWCGCAATGTGCTGGAGCAGCAGCAGCAGCATCATCCCTCCATCATACAGCAGAAGATAACGATGCCCATGGCGGTAAGATTGAGATTGACCCTGATTGACAATGTGCAGTGCTAATAAAATATATTCCCGCTGCAGCTTACGGATGCGGCCAAGGCGAAGCCGGCTCAGGCAATACCCATTGCCAAGAAGCCAATGCCGCCGCCCACGCCAGCGGCAGCTCCTGCACAGCAGCATCCGTTGCAAATGCCAGTGCTGAAGCCCACTCAGCAGGCGCAGCTGGAGAAGCCGACATTAATAGTTGAGTCGAAGCCAGCGGAGCAACCAGCAGTCACGGCTGCAACAGTTGCCAGTCAGATGCCATCAGTAGCAGCGGGAACAGTTGTTGCCACAGCAACTGCAGCGACCACGAGTGCTGTGACCCATGCTAATCCCTCAGCCGCTCCAGCTGTGAGTGCTGTGAGTGCTGTGAGCGCTGTGCCCGTGGATGTGAATTGGCTGTTCATTTGCGATTGGCGCAACTGTCCGCGTCGCAAGTTCAAATCGCTCAACGAGCTGCAGCATCACGTCTGCAACGTGCACTGTCCAGACCACTTGGACCCGGGCGCCGAGATCTATTGCCAGTGGGGCAGTGGCCCCAGTCTGTGCGACAACATAGCGCGCAAGCGCTACTCGCTGATGACGCACCTCGTCGATCGACACTTGGCGCTGGACGACTTGCGAGCAAGTGTGCAGCGACGCCTGGCCACGGGCATCCACAATGTGTCGCCCGCCCAGCCAACGGTCACCATAGTACGCAATGTGGGCAGTGCCAACGCGCCGGCAGCGGCGTCAGCGGGCGCTCCAGCTACTGCAGCCACTGCTGTGGGAACCTCTGCTCTGCAGGCGATCAAGCGGCACTCGGCTGACTTTCTCAACTCGAAGGAACTGATGGACGAGAACGAGGGTCCAGTCACGAAGAGCATACGGCTTACGGCTGCGCTGATCTTGCGGAATCTGGTCAATTACTCATTGACGGCCAAGCGGAGCCTGAAGCGCTACGAGCCCCATCTGGCCAATGTGGCCTTCAGTAATGTGGAGGCTAGTGGCGTTCTATCCCACATACTACACGAGCTGAGCCAGTAGCTCCTCCTCCTCGTTCTCCTAACTAACTGTCTATATATATAATATATATATTGTATATGCATACACATAAATGTATTTTTCTACACCTCTCGCTGGGCTGCTAAAGAACATTTTTTTAATCAAACATTTCTACTAACTAACGACACTATTAAATGTGAACAAATTAAATGAGATAATGAAAAGTCTACTCTGTATTGGCCCTTGCGATAACTCATATTCGAGATGTTGAGTAAGTATACATCCTTTCCATGAAATGACAATGCGAATTGAAAATATCTTAAGTTAAATGATGTATGGCTTCGCAAGTATAGAATTATGTTGTTAGTATAATATGTATTTTGAAACTGAAAGAGTTATTTTGCTAATTAAATAATTTATTTTTTCTTCAAATTCAAATAATATAAATCTCATGTGAATCGAGTCTAGGGATGAATTCATTGGGAGTCTCAAAGCCCTAAAAATATAATATTACAATTCTATAGATAATAAAGTATATAATTATTTAAATAATAACTCATTTATAGTGTTGTCCAGGAATTGTCAGTCGCTGCCAAGGAACAGTTGCTTGGCAGAAAGAGTTGAAATTGTAGCAGTTAACACGCTAGGACAGATTAGTGTGAAGATCTAGTTATACAAGTCCCAGAGTGAGATTTGCGCGTCCCTGCCGGCGGCGGCCATGATGGGTGCATTCCACATGGACACCGGCTGCGGGGAGTAGGCGAGGTCCATGACGCCGCCTTGCTTGTGCTGCGTCAGCACGGCTAACGGTCGCAGGCTCTTCCACGAAAAGATGCGTATGCGTCCGTCCCAACCGGCGCTAGAGAAGACCTTTTGATCGGAGCGAATGCGTACGCAATTAACGCCAGGATTCTTGATGCACAGCTCGGATCCGCGCTGTAGCTGCATGGATTGCCTCTGATAGCTAAATGTTGTCAATTTATCGGCTGTGGTAAGGGAATTTGATATTATTTCAAGTGCCTTAATAATATGTCACATTGCTTGCTTACAAGCGCTTCCAACTATGCCTCGATTTGTGATGTGATCATAATCGACAGTTAGAGCCTCCGGCGCGAGTTCAGTGACATCGATCATGACGCCGCTGCTCAGATCCCAGGTGAGAAAGTGCCCAGACTCGTATCCGGCGAGCAGAAACAATTGTGACGCGCACTCGAAGGGCTTGAAGCAGGTGACGCAGCCCAGCTTGGGCAATTGCGGATCATCCGCTACGAGCATTTGTGTTGGCGCCGCCGGATCCGTTACGTGCAGCACTCCAATGGCCGCCTCCTCGCACGGATAGAATAGTAACTGTTCATTGGTGTTGTTGGCATTTATGTGCAGCGCTGTGCGACAATAGCCCAAATGATTGCCCGGTATGCTGCGCTCCTTGACGTAGCTGCTGTTGCTGATGGAGAACGTAGTAATCGTGCCGCCCTTCTCTTGTGTTATCAGGTGCTCTTTGGTATGATGCAGACTCGTAATTGGCTCGGTGCCCACCTCGAAGTTCAGTGCTGAACGATTTGTCTAGGCATTTGTCATGTAATTCGTTATTTTTGTCATTGCACTGTTTTGTTGTCGCTCACCTGTAGATCCCAGAGAAATACTTTGCCTTTGAAAGTGCCTGCCAGCAGGCGTTCGCTTTCGTGGAAGCATAAGGAGTTCACGGCGCCCATTTCCGGGGAACGCAAACTGAACACAGGGTCAGGTGGTAACACAGCCATTTTAATAAGGGAATTGAAATTATGAAATTTAACCAAAGTGCGTCGCGTTTTAATGCCGATAAGATAAATAAAAGATTGTGTGGTATGTTGTGGAGGCGAGTCGATAACGATATACATATGCGTATTCATGTTATTTGAAGATGCCCGCCTAACATTAATAAGTTAATATACCATAATAAATGAATATGCTAAATTAATATACCATAATCTATTTAATTAAACGCCCAAATACTTAGACGGCATATTTATTCAACCAATTTAATGAACAACTGTGTATATGATACCCGTTTCTCGATAAGTATGTATGTAAAGAAAATTCACATAAAAACTTACAGTCCATAAGCATAATCAGCTGTTCTGTTTGTAACACAGTTTAACCGCTAGAGGTCGCTGCTATGTTGGCGCGTCATTGCCACGTTTCGAAAAAGCTCACGAAGGCGATGAAACAAGAAATAATTTTTTCCCAAGCGAATTCTTATCAATTCACAGCACAGCCTTTAAGTGAAGTTAAATCGTGAGACTTAACTGAAAAATATCATAAGAATCGCTAAATGTCGGCAAAGAGCCAGCGGTTATTGAAAGGCATAGCTGTGTGGCTTTTGCGGACTTTACCAGCGTCCAGCGTCTGTGGCCTAGGCGTTAAGGCCGCGATCGTAAAAAGACTTGTCAGTGGTACTTGGCCAGTGTGTAACAGCCTAATGCGAACTTAAAAATAAAAACAAGTAAAAAACATACATTGAGAATTATGTGCCCAAAAAAGATCGCAAAGTAAACATGCTATAAGCTCGTTAATCAACGCTAAGTTGACAGCTTTAAGTTGCTATACCAATTTTTTTTCTCACTTTTATTTTATATATATTTTTTATCAACAACAACAACTGAGCGCGCTTGAGACTCCTGTTGTGTCGGAATGATTTAGTATACGCTGTGTTAGGGCCGGCCAAAAAGGGGAACGAGCTATTTTTAATGCTCCGAAATTATGATTCCATTTATTTGTATTTGTGCTTGAAGCCATTTGATTTTGCATTTCCATATATCTAAACTATAATCCTAAAGCTTTACAACTCCGCTGCTTTATGAAGTGAGGTGAAAACCGATAAGTTTAAATGATTAATTTTTAGATACTAAATATAGACTAAATATATTCTCTTAAAATTTTATTTTATGTTTGTTTCCAAAATGATTTGACTTCCATGTGAAATATATTGGCTACATATATTCTTAGGTCCCACAGTTAGATCAGTTAGACAGCTGCTTAGAGCCTGAACATTTGGCATTCATGTGAGCTGCACGAGTTCCATGAATCCTTGGCGAATTGCTTTTAAGTGCTGGATGATTGGACATTCCTGGCTGTGAGATTCCATTAGCTTCACTGGATGCTCATATTTACATGTAATTGTAGTTTTATTAGGGCGCAACAAGTTAACAACTTTCACGAAGTGCTGAAGCGATTCCTTGGCTGGCTGAACGTGGCTAAGAGTTCCTTTAACGGCAAAGCCGATCGTAAAAAGTTAAAGCCTCGCCAGAACACACTGCGAACTCATTTGCTTTGACTGCGGCTTGTATTGGGTCGGACAGACGTACGGACGGGGGGAGGGACCGAGCTGAATGGAGGAAAACGTGCCATAAATCTTTTTGCCACAGCGTCGAGGTGAGGCGTTTAGTGGCCAAACTATTTATGCATGTAGCTATGTGGGTAATCCATTTGAAATGGGTCAACAACTGCAACTGGCGACTCCTTAAACGATTCGCCTGACCCAAACAGAATCCAGTTTCAGTTTCTGTTTCTGTTTTGGTTTCAGTTGAGAGATGCTTAAAACATATTAGCTTGTTACCTTAATGAAGTCATAAATTTTCGCTATCGCATTGGAGCATCAGCTACAGGTTTCTAAGGAATTCCAATTCCTCTATCCAGATTATTTTAATAAAATTTTTGTTCTTCTTTTTTTTGTTTTTGTTTTGGCACACATTTGCGTAAGCATATTCAAAATCCATATATGACCAATGCTCGATAGTTAATCAGGCTTAGTTTGATATATGCTGACAGCGTCGACCTCTGGTGTAGGCCGCCAACTCAGCCCACTCTCAGGAATTAGGAGGGAGGAGACATCCTGCTGTGCCTGTTCCGCGTATCTGGGCATCTGGGCATCTGGTCAACTGGGTATCCGCTCATCCGTTCCGAGCTATGAAAATGAAGTTATCACGCGACATACAATGGCTCCCTCCGCATTGCTATCTATAACTTTATACGGCTGTCATTATTAGCCAGGGCAATGAAATGGGCCCCAGCGCATGCTGCCAACTTATTTATGCGCTACCTTAATGGACCCATTTCGCATCAGAGTCTCTGTCCTGGCAGCTTCGGGTTTTCCTCTTTGTGAATCTGGCGTTTTTATGGCATTATGTTTTGCATTGCCCATGAATCATATTGAACGCATGTATAACGCTCAATACGCTCCCAGGCACCATGTGGGCATCGATATAAGCAAAAGGTGTTGGAATTTTGATTTGCTCGCAACAATGCAGCCTGGCATGAACTTAAAGTCCCATAAAAAATAAATAAGAGAAACAATATTATCAAATCGTATGTGGTATATAGGAGAGAAAAGAAAGAAACCCTCTGGATTGATCACAAAATTTCAGTCCAAACGAATTTCCGATTTTTCTTAATATATATCTAGACTAATCAAATCTCTAAAAGTCTAAAGTAATAGATATTAATATTAATGGAATACTAATATGGTATTAGACGCCGCTCTCCCCTACAACTCCTCAAGCTCTAGTCAAATCTCGAGATCCCAAGATCATTCAATATTATGTGAACAATAAAGTCATTACATTGTTAAATTTAAAGATAAACTTGTTTAGCTCGCTCTACTACAACGAGGCTTAGATGCATTAGAAAAGTACAAACTCAACGATATTTAAAATTTCCAAACTTGAAGTTGCCAAACTTTGAGAGACAGAGAGGAAGAGACAATGCCAGCAGACACGTTATGCTCTCTTTCTCCTCCAGCGCAATCAATTAAAACATAGACGTCTATCAGCATTATTATAAATCAAACGATAACATAAAATTGACACTAAAGGCGTTTCGCCCATTTTTCATGCGGCGACGAGATTAAGCCTCCAAATTGTAGATTGTAACTCCAAGAAAATTAAAATATTCGACAAAAAGAAAAAACACACACACGCATAAAGTCACACTAGCTGCAAAGTGTGCCCGAAAAAAAAAAACAAAAAAAAAAAACAAATGAAATCAGAAAACTAGAGCTGCGCTTTGTTTTTATATTTTTATATATGCAAATTGAACGTTGGCCAAACTAGACGGGAAAAACTGGTCGGCACGCCAAAGTGCTCGGTAATTGATCAATTTCCGTGGCGGACAGACCGGAATATCTGAAATCCAAATCGAATTGGTAACAGCGATTCAGTGCCGGATCGGAACATACTACGTAATGGACTATATCTAATTACGTAAGATCAGTTAAAAAGGAGTTTAAAGCAGTTTAAAAGGAGTATGGAAATAGAAACTATGATCCATTCGTATTCCAAATATCATGCAGCTATGGAGCTGGACAGGATCTAACATACAAATCTGAAGTGTTGAGCTGATCCGGTAAGTCGCCCAGACAGGAAGACAGACGCACGATTATAAAATATTTTGAATTTAAAGATGTGGAGATCCTGGAGTCTCTGCCGAGATATGTCTATCGCAATCATTAAATAACCATTAAAGCAGCTGCTGTCTAAAATATGACGGTAAATTGATTATTTTTCCTACTTTAAATTGGTTTAATATTATTAATGAATAGATTTATGATAGACTTTCTCAAAAATGCCCAATGGAGTTTGCTAATGGGATATGTTTTGTTTTCAGAGCGTCACATTTGCTTACGCAAAATCAGCATACCTTCTTTTTCAAATGTTCAGCGAATACAGGGTATAAAGAAAACGAAACGTATTCAAGACCCGCAGATGATAAAATGATGGTCACTTGATTTTCAAGCTGATTTATGCATCAAAATTATTCAGAGAGTAGGCACGCGATACATATGCATATATATGTGTGTATATAGATATAACTCAAGATTTTTGGCTTAATGAAATGGCGCTTCATATTGAAGACAATAGCTCAACACGAATTACCATTTAAACCTACAAAGCTTGTGGGTGCGATTTGTGTATGTGTGTGTGTGTGTGCGTGTGCTGCACATCTGCTCTCACCTACGCAGCGACACTTTCCACTCGAGCGGAGAGCTGAGTGTGAAGCTGAGCGTGGCGCTGTGTGCCAATCAGACGCACTCAGCCAAAGTGCCAATCAAGTGTACCTGATGCTGGCAGTCGGCGCACAGGACAAAAGGATCATAACACCACACGGGCCTGGGCCTGAAATCGAAACCTTGTCCGCTAGGTGTCAATAACATTGTATCGCCTGATTGCGCTCGCGCTAGAGATGGCACCCATCCTCGCCCATTACTGCATGACACGACACGGCACATGACTCCAAACACGATGCACACACGATATCAGCTAACACGCCAGACGCTGTCTGCGATGATTAATCGACACGCACGACTTTTCGATGTCTACATTAAAAGCTGTTCAAGAATTGGCCTTTACTCATGCATGTATTCACTCACATGTACATATGTACCTACATCATACATATTTATATATGTATGTACATATGTATTATTAAAGGCAGTCATAGCTGGCGACTGCTTCGTTTTAGATCATTTGATTAACAAACTGAATTCAAGAAGTTGACTTGAGCACTTCATTTGTTTTCTTTCACATATTTATTATTATTAACTTATTTATTAATATTAACTTTTATTTACATACATATTTACATATATATGTGTATTTTCCTAATAAATTCGTACTTTGAATGCATAAATTTAAAATGGAAATAAACGAAAGCGTTAGACAGAGGCGGAAGGCGCGTTCGTCCCTATGGCCAGGACGACAACTTGAGGTGATCTCTTCCGCAGCCATGTAGATCATGTTGTAATTGCCATTAGTCCGTCTTACCTCTTG